GAATCTCATTAGATTTCATGGAATAGGCAATCGATTGTAGGTTTCTCGAATGCGACTTCGTTACATCAACATGATTATAAACTGGTTTACTGACAACGCATAGACCAAGCACCAAAGAAGTTCTCTCTAGGTTGCGTTTTGCTCCTTTTATGGCGGTCAGGGGAAACAATAAAACACCCCGCCCCCGGTAACCACGACCCAAGGGAGAAGTGTCCTAGGACGACGAGCACGCGATGTTGCGGGGAGGTGTTCTCACGCACCAAAAGGAGAATTTGAACGCTACCCAGCAACAACAGACATGAAACTTTTTCAAGCAAAACCTCAAAAAAGACGCAGCAGAGCCCGAGTTTTAACTTAAAAGGTCTGTAAAATTAATTTCGCGAAACAGTAAAACTTTGCACCTAAGCAGGAAAAGAGAGATGTCTTCTGAACTTGAGAATCCATACATGTAAGGTGATTGTTAAAATACACCGAAATTAGTATGAATCGAACGCTTACATGACGCAGAGTTGGGGCATAAATTCGAGAAGGCAAAAAACGGACTAGACGGCGACGACCGGGGCAGAGAGACGGGACTTGAAAGTCCACCGTTAACAGAAACGGAAATTGGCTGGAAAAGTGTCGGATTGGGAGAGCGCAAGTTCGTATTCGCACAGGAGAAGTGCCCAGTGGGAGAAGGAGGGAGGACGGGGAGGTTACTGTCGCGGCTTGAGGGGGAACCAGTCTTCGGCAGGGAAGCAGGACTCTCAACCTCCAAGCGCTCCCGATCCAGTCGCTCAATGTCCTCTCGGCTGCGCTTTAAGCAAGCCTCGAACAACTCCCTTGTTATGCCCAGCGGGTTACCGATGACCAAGGACCACACCTGAATTGTGAGAAAAGAAGCATAACGTTCGCTCAAGATTTGTATATAGGAAGGCACTAGAAGTAGAGGAATTGCAAGACCCAACAGAGTAATAATAGGAAGACTTCAACAACGCCGTGTCATTGAAAATAATTAGTCCCTGACCAGTTTCATACTATCCTTTGTGATCAGAAAACTTTAGTCTTAGGAGAAGGTGAGGGAATTCGGGAGGAACCCTGAAGTGAAATGCCAAAAAATCAGGTTATCTCATATTGAAAGAGAACGAGAGAGCCTGCCAACAGAACTCGCACATCTGCCAGGCTCATGAACAATAGACAACGCGCCAAATGTGTACTTTTACTGGAAGAGGCTATAGGAAGCCAAACTGTGAGTACAATATAAGCATTGGAGTTAGATGAAATGCAGTACATCGTGGCAACCAATGCGGACATATGCAGCTGTGCCACTGATCTTCACAAAAACGAGGTCA